TAATGACTGATTAACAAACTTGTTTTGTAAATATAAATATACTTATTTTGTTGTTCAATTAATTTGAACTGGAGGCAATGGAAATTGAGAACAGAGAACATAACACTGGTGACCATCAGTGGAATTTGGATTACTAAAAACTAGTGTCCAGTTGTAGGGATAATTTAGAAATGTAACACTGGTGGTAGCACTACTGTAAATTACAGTTGGTTGGATCCATAAACATTGAAGTGAGTCAAATAATAATTTACTTCAATGTGTTGTTGGAGCCTGCTCAACACAAAAACTGTTGATGCATTTGTGTATTTATTTTACATCAATCAAAAAACATATTTGGTGCCTTTCATACTTTATTAAAAAATAACATATTTTTAACATTCAGAGAGGTAATCAGTAGATTTTCTTCACCCGGGAAAATAAAACAAAATGAAAAATTAAAATAAAATGTGTTTCCTTATAAGTACCTACCTATCCCTCTCTTTTTTTGGAGCCGAAAAAACCCAGGAAACATATTTTTATTAATAACACAATACAAAATGAAAAGTAAGTCTAAGATTTTTAACATTCAATTGATTTCAATAGAATCAATAAAATTAATTTTCATATCTGAATTGGTTCTAAAATTTATACTGATTTCTGTTAAATATGATGGTTCAAATGAAATCTTTTTAACATGCATTACCAAAACTGACAACACTTTTTTTTGCATGACAGATCCAACCTAATGCACTTCCAGATGAGACTTTCACCAGAACATTATAATTCCAATTATCTTTAATTACTGATATACGTGCACTTGGAGGTCCCATGTGTGACACCACCTGGTGGATAAAACGAGAAGACTAGTTTGATCCTTTGATGCGCATCAAAAGAATCTCGAGGTCACGTAACGTATGTCGCCCTTTTGTAATCTTCAAAGGAGCGTATCAGCCTGTGATTGGTCAGTTTTTCTCTCTCCTGAAACCTGCTGTAGACCAATTGGGTTACTGCGCTTTGCCCTCAATTTTGCCATGAAATGTTCCAGGGGTGCTAATTTAAAGCTTCAACAAGATCATATACAGCGATCCCATAGCAATCTTGGCACTCAACATCGTATGACCTTTAACAATTCAACATCAGTTGGATCTTTTTATCCTTCTCATATGTCCTCCGATTTGTTCTTTGGTCCATCAGTACCAAAAGTTGTGCATATACAATGTGAACCAAAAGGGAACCTACATACCACATTCGAAGATGATGCCCTGGTACTTGATAACTCAAAATCTAAGATTGCCACCTGTCTGTCATTTCATTTATCAGTCTCAAATTGGAAAATTCACAACCAAGGACCGGGCCTAGGGAACCTACATACATGTATGCTCATGAAATCTAAGAATGAACTAGAATTTTGTTTTTGTGAACAAAAACGTGTCTCCCCTTATTAGCCAATAGAAAAACTCTGGTATAAAATAATAACAAATGCCTGAAATGGCAATATCGCTTTATATAGTGGGGCACGAGACCCGAATTTAAAATTTTGACATTCCTACTTACGTAGGTGAAACTAGAACACCGACAGGTCAGTAAGGGCCCCGTCTTGTGGCAATATATCCCCCATAATCATCAAGAAGCAATCTGCCCATATAGCTGAGCTTGACGTTTGACATTTGGACTTCGAAAGGAAGCAAAATACACATTTTACATTTACTATGAAGCGAGTCTTGTTTCCGTCCACCTCCATATTTGCTGGGCTAACAAATGTAAATACTGGTGCAATACTCATTTGTTAGCTTTGATATGTTTTATTTCACCTTAAATACCTCCCCCATCAAGAGCCATGATCAAAGTAAGAGATCCACTTTGTCTTTGACCTTTTAATTTGAACCCAAATGACCTGGACCTTTAACCCAGTGACCCTGATCTTTGGTCAGTTGACTCATTCTTTAATTCCAACCAACTTTGCTTCATAATATCATAACAAAATGTTCATCAGTGAAAAATACAAAACTTGACCTTGACCTTGACCTTGAACCTTTGGAACCCCTAACCTTGATCTTTGGTCAGTTGACTCTGTGTGAAGATCTGAACAACTTTGCTTCATAATAACATACAAAAAATGTTCATCGGTAAAAAGATACAATATCTGACCTTGAAATTGACCCAGTGACATTGACCTTAAGTCAGTTGACTCCTTGTTAAATTCCAACCAACTTTGCTTCATAATGTCATAACAAAATGTATATCAGGGTAAAGATACAAAATTTAACCTTGACCTTTGACCCAGTGACCTTGACCTTAGGTCTGTTGATACCTTGTTTGAGTGTGACGGACGGAAGGATGAATTGGTATAGGGCCCCGCATTGAAGTAATAACATGGAACTTATGCCATGGACAAACTCTGGTAGTTAAATTAAACAAAGGGCCATAACTCTGTATATTGTGACGCACAATGCAAGACCTAATTCAAGTGAACTGCATACCTTCTGTGAGTGATGCAGGTATACTTTAAGTTTGATTAAGATATCTTTAATGGTTTAGAAGTTACGCTGTGGACAAACTTCGGTATTAAAAATAAACAAAGGGCCATAAAATCTGATTTTAGTGTGAGAAATTCCGCCTTCCCAAGATACATCAATATGGAAAGTATGGTCAACGTAGGTGAAATAACATAGAACTTATGCTCTTGACAAACTTCGGTTTTCAAATTAAACAAAGGGCCATAATTCTGTATATAGTGGGGCATGAGACCTAGTTCCAGTGCGTTGCACACCTTCTGTGGGTGATGCAGGTATACTTCAAGTTTGATTAAGATATCTTTAACAGTTTGCAATTTACGGGCCGAACAAGAACTCACTGAAAATGTGCACTTATTTGACCTTGAGGTGAAGGTCACAGTGACCTAATTCCAGTGCACTGCACACCTCCTGTGGATGATGCATGCATACCTAAAGTTTCATCAAAATATCTTTAACGGTTTAAAAGTTATGGCCCGGACAAGTCAGATTAGAAGAACCAGAAGAAGAAAAAGAAGAAGAACCAGTACTAATACAAAATGTCTCCCTTCATTTGCAGAGAGACATAACTAATCCATCAATTACTTTCTCAAGACAAGTGTATCGGTGGAATTGATGAATGCTCCCTGAAATCAACTTTATAGGAGGCTTTTTCTATCTGTGAATTTTGTATTTGGTCATATCAATAACACATATCTGTTAAAATATGTTAAAATGAAGAGTTTGGAAGAGGAAAGAATAATGTTTTACCAAGTAAAGTTTTGTGATCCTTGCTTAAGCGTTGGGGGCAAAGTTATGCTCCGTACCAAAATTTTAACAAAGGGCAATAACTCTGTAATTAAAAAGGTTGCAGACCCTGTATTTGGTACTTACACTGCAAGTTGTCTTAGTACATGTATTACCAATTGTAGACACAAAGTTTCATGATTTTTTCAACAAATAAATTTGGGTATAATAAACTTCAGTTGTGAAAATTCAAAATGTCTTCCTGTTGGCCATTTTGTTTTCCAATTAGTCACAAAATTTGCACAACTATGGACCAAGGAGAACCTACATATGAGATTTGAGAACAAGAGATCCCAGAGGGATCTTTATGCCCACCTTTGATTGATTACAATGATATGAAATTTGAAAATTTCCCTAAAGAAAAGAGTAAAATCCAAGATTGCCGCCTCTCAGCCATGTTACTTTTTTATCAATCCCAAAATCAAATTGTGGGCTAAAAATCCTTCCACTACTTACTTCAGAAATAGCGATAAGAATTGTTTACTGACATACAGACAACAAATCACAAAGACATCCCAACAACTCACATTTAAAGTAAAAGGGTTGATTTTCTATCAAGGCAAGCAGTAAAAAAAAAAAAAGATTGATTACAATATTTCTTATAATGACTAGTGTAAATGTGAAGCTTAAATGTTCACAATATTTTTGATGACTATATTATCACATTTTCCTTTTAAAAATATTTCTAGTTCAATAACTTTATGTCAGTGTGATGCAAATTACCTTGCCATACCAACAACTAAATATGAGAAGTCTAAAGCTTTTACTAGTGTTGACTCTTAACATTACTACCTTAATTAATTTTCAGGCTTCCATGGGTTTTTTTTCTTAATTGATGGCTGTAACAATGACTGACTACAATTCTCAAATGACAGTTCAATAAATATTCCCATCAACTACTGAGAAAATAAGTGAACTGGTCTTAAAATCCAATCTAAACTCTAGACAAGATATCTTCCAGGATCTTGGTGACAACCATTGTATGATCTTAATTGGATCTTTTATTTCCCCTTATATTCTATTTTTCCTATCCTTCAGTCTTGCATTTATTTGCTTTTAATTCTATGTTATAGACATTAAATTTGTAACATTAATGAACAATAGAATAATAAAAAAAAATCCGCCCACAACTAATAAGGACAAAGGGAAACCAACAGGTATTCTAAAACTATCAAAATCAAGAACTTTAACTTTGTGAAAAATTGCAATAACAAACTTTATCTACCAAAATTTTAGATAGCGGTCTGTTGACCATTTTGATTTTCTGATGTTTCATTTCAGTTCAATATCCACACAGCTCTGTAAAAGAGTAGGATTAAATAATTTCTGGAAATATTTTAAATGTGGTGCAAATTGACCGCCACTAAATTTAAACATTTATTTGTATTATCAAACTACAAATTTCAGTTCATTGTACATGTATTTACTAGAGAAGTAGAAATTAAACGGAAAATATAATGAAATGATGGCCAGGGCAACACTAGATGTGTTTCAATGTATGCCCAATCAATTTCATCTTAAATATATATATAAGTTCACAGAACAGTTCAATCACTGAAATCACTATCATTTAAATGTCCAACATACAAAGCAGCAAAATAATGCCAAAATGATTCAACATAGATTTCAATTTATATATTGAATAAAAGCAAAGCGATCAGGAGCTCACATCCAGGGGTTCAGGATGTGTCATGTAAAACTTGAGAATCACAACTTTAGTCCAAAGAAGAAATTACAAAAAGCATAATCAAACAATCCATGGAGAATAGAATCATCAGGAAGCTGCTCCATTTTCTCTGGGATACTGAGTATCAATTTGTTTATACAGGTGTTTGATGTTGGGAGAAACTAACACCAGCATATGCAAAATGTATTGTTGGTTTTATCTGATAACCAAGTATGGGTTCTTCATCTGCCCCAGTCACGAACTGAAGTATGCTGTTCAATGTCACATCGCCTCTATGCCCACCTGCAACATAATAATTAGGAAATGAAGTTAGACAGAAAGAATGTGATATCATATATGCTGTATATATAAGTTTACGGGCATTAAAGTGCTCACTTGTGCAAAAGCTACCCCGTTTGAATTCTGCTTCCATGAAGTGCCAATTGTCAACCCTATAATTTGATCAAATATGAAAGTTATTACCATAATTAAGCGTTAATAAGTCAAGGACATTACATCACTTCTCATTCAAGTTGTAAGCTTATCAAATAAAAATAATAGAAATGGTTTATAATTTGGGACAATCTACGGTATTTATTTCCTAATCCTTTTGTTCCAACAATAAAGTTGTTTGAAATGGATCTAGGCTTATTATCAGATTACACATTGACAGTTTGTCAAAGATCTTCAAATTTATGACAGTTGATAATTCGTTACCTGTACATCAAGAGATGATGATCAATTGGCTTTGTCCATAAGTTTCGATAAAATTATTTATTAAAATAACAATTTCGAAAAATACTTCTAGGAACTTGTGCCTAGTTTTGTCGCTTATTAATAATTGAATCCCTTAAGCTTATCAATGGAGACCCAGATACCAGAGTCCTGTCATGATATTTGGCCAGTACTGTCAGGATGGAGTGGCAAAGTGCCACAAAGTTTCCTCGACTAAATGATATTGGCCTATTTTCAAGGTCTTGGGGATCAAAAATATGCAGATCCAAAAATTAGGCCTACATGCCCGACTTAGTGGGTCTTCCATGGTGTTTCACAAAATTTTGACAAAACATTAACCTATATTAAGTGTTTTGCTGACAAGGTCATGGCGTACACAATTCAAGTGCTATACTTATTTTTGTTGGAGGGAGGGGGTTTGTGATATAAAGGAAACTGCCGTCAAGATACTTACTTGCTACTTCACGTATGTATTTCACAAATTTAGCATACACAGCTGCTTCCAATCTCCTTTTGTTTGATCCATTGTCACTTAATATTGGACTCAAAATGTTGGTCAATTTCTTGACTGACAGAGGAGTTGAAGCCCCAGGAGTGAATACATGAACTAGTGTTGGTAGTTTTGAAGCAAGCTGTAAATAGATTGTTACAATTATATATATTTAGAACATAGACTAATTCCATAAATTGTACAAAATGATATATATACATAATAACAAAATCATGGACCTTCCAACATATTATCTATTGAAACGCAACATGTCTTTTAATTTTATAAGCCCATCAAATTTTTATTTGTATGGCATTGTCTGGCATACACCTCTGTTCGTCAGGAGATCTCCTCCTACATTTTTTCAAGCATAGTATGCTTCATAATCATGATAGTGGGTTTTTTTGAGTGGCATTTTGATGCAACTATTTTTGTAAAAGTTATTGCCCTTTCATGTTTATCTTTAGTTCTGATTCAGATTGATACCATTCTATAATCAACGGAATTTCCTCAAGATCACATTTTATCTCCCACAAAAGTCATAAATTTTGTACCTGGAAATGAATTGTGTTTTCCAATCATTTGGTTAATTACTGCATAATTAAAATAATGTTTCAATTAACCCTTTCACCACTGTAGACCATAAAGGACTCATCTAGATCAATGCATGGTAGGGTCTACTAAAGTTACATAGGGGTGAAAGGGTTAATGAAAAATATGGTACATGTACTAACCGTGTAAACACCCAATGCATCAAGGCCCTTTCTGCTGTCGAGTATAAATTGTTTGCAGTTTTCTTTTTCGCTGAAAACTTCTTCGACCAACTCAGATGACAAGAGGCGTTGCAGCTTACCATTTTGGAGTAAACTCAAGGCTGTAAAGGTAATCGTTTGTCATCCTGAAAACGGAAGTTGAAATAATTTTAACGGTGCGTTCGAATAAGATGTTATATTAATGTTCAACTAGACTTGCACAAGCTCTAATTTGTTTTGATTTTGTCGGAAGTCAATATTAGCAAATTGAAAAACATGTTATGTCAACTTCCAGGCATATTGATGTTAACATCTAGATAAATTATATCAAGTTAAGCCACTCTCCGTAAATCAATTAGGTTGGAATTTTTAAGTAGATAAATAAAGGTACAGTACTGTGCAGAAATCTTGCTGTATATATTATAAAACTTATCGCAGTAAGGGAAAATATTTTAAAATCCGGCAAATTTGCATTAAATTTTACGGACCTCTCTGGTCCACTGAAATGCAGTGATTCGGAAAGGTGGGGGCCATATATATACAATTTTGCATTCAACAGTAAAATGTCACTTTGAAATTCAGGATTCAAAACAAGCTTTTGATTATCTGTGCTACCTATCATATACATTGATATTTACTGTATACATCATGCTTTTTACACATAAGTGACACTGTAATATATACCTACCCATTATCTTTCCAATGGTCTGGTATTCTCCAGACCACTCCCTGACTGGATCAAAATACTTTTGTTTTAATTCGTTGAGGACTAAAACGAAAAACTCCTTTCTGGGGCCTCCCAAGTCAACTGAGACCTACAATACATTAAAAAATATTGCATCAATTAATGAATATGCATTAATTATGATTATGTAAATAGTCCTAGATGACATGTTGACACTGTGCCTGACCAATAATACACACACATATATATATATGTATAATGTAATTCTAAATCCTATATTTATTATATATAATTATAAATCCTTAACAAATAGTACTCTCTGCCTTAAGACCATAATTATGTATTTCTATTTCTGTGATATCACTATGACGGGTACGTAAATAGTGGACGTCGCTATAGCGAACTATTATGTGACGTCACAACATCTTCTTTAAATGAACAGTCTGAAGAATCTCCTAGAAGAGATGAAGGTACTTCAAAGACTCTATGTTGAGAATATTTCATTTTACATTATTTCTTAGTCCGTAAGGATAATTTTTCTGCTTTTATAATATATATATAAATTAATTTCCTATTCTTTAGAAGATAAAATCAACTCAGTTAGATCATCAAAAAGAATAAGTTAATTGCATTTAGGAACAGCAAGGGACCAAGAAGTTCGTCATGTGTGCAGTTTCTTAATAAATACATATTTTAATGTTAAAATGATAAAGTAATGAATGTTTAAAAATTAGTACAAAAGATCAACTTCTTCAAAGTCTTGTGTTAAGTGTGCTAAAGTATAATAATAAATTGCATGTTATTTCTTAGTCAACTTACTTCTCCATAGAACTGAACTTCAAGGCATATTCTTAAATCATCAATGGCTGCAATTTCTTCCAGAGCGGACTCCATTACTCTATCTCTGTCTATCAATATGTGGTTGGTATCACCTCCTAAAAGAACTGAATTCTCTTCAATGTCCAGTTTACGACCAGTTACTATTTTCTGTTGAATTAAATGGATTATTTCCACAGGATTAGATATGTTGTTCTGTATGCAGTTACTGGATGATTCCATCAAATCCGATATTACTAAATCTTTTATGCGAGTGTTGCTATATAAGTGTGCTGAGTGTTTCTTCAACTGACGTGATATCTAAATTTGGTAGTAGTCCAAGTGTTAGAATATCTTCGGACGAAATGTCTGCGACACTCTGATTAGAATCAAACTCTTCTGCTTCTCCAAACTCGGAGGCAGGGTGGTTACTAGTACCACTATGGACATCATTAGCATTGTGGTCAGCAGCACCACCTTGTGGTGGATTTGATAGGCTTACATGTACTTCAGGCAGAAACTCAAGAGCCTGAGGAATCCTGATCATCAACTGTGATACCACAATGTTCAACATGCTCTCGAAGAACTCTCACTGGAAAGTTTTTTTTACAAATATTGCAGGGAGTTAGCATATAACTGCTTTCGTTATTTGGCACATGTATTGGGTCTACATTTAAATCATTTTGCACAGGCCTTACATAAATACAGATCTGACAGTTGACGTTTCTTTGCAAACTCTCTGCAGACCACAAGCACTCGATATATTTTAAATCCCGACAGCTTTGAGTTGATCTCATAAGTTCGAAGCCGCCTGCATCCTTTAGTTTAGGAAAGCCTTTTGGTTCACCATTTTCATCCAGGATTTCAGACACAAGTTTGTTTTCGACATCATCAGGACTGTCTGATTTACATAATTTTATAGTTTTTTTCCCAAGTCCAGCATTGTTTAAAATCTCCCTCTCAGACGGTGTAGGAATACGAGTTTGATCTTTGGATGCTAAACACTAGCCATTTTAAAGTAAATTCTCTATCATTGAAACTTCTTCCTCTTGCCGCTCTAGCTCTTGAGCCTCTAAAGTTCCGTGCTTGAGATCGGGATCTTTGGTTACATGTATAACTACGAAAAAGGGTAGCCCTTTCGTTGGCTATTTCAAGAGCACTCCTGGTACTGCTGCTTGTGAATGACGAATTCGAAAAAGTTGTTTCACGTGATTGATCGCGGACAATTTTCCTAAGATTTGCTCGTTGGCCAATTGTCTCGACGCCCAGCCTAACTAATTCTGCATCAGATAGCTGAAAAATCACATCGGCACCTATATGTTCCGATAAAAATCGTTCGTACAGCCCCACCAATCCACATTTTGCCAGAACCTCGCGAATCTTACCACCTTGTCTTTCCTCCATTTTTTTGTTGAATCATGATCACTGATGCGCTTAAATCTGAAAAACGCGCGAGAATTGCGAACAACCACGACACGTCTTCCGAAAGATCTTAATAACACGAAACCGTGACTATGTAACATAATTAAGTGATGACATGGCTTACAATAGAGACCATATATCGTATAAAATGATAATGTGAAATATAAATTGGACCACATAACGTATATTTGGAATCAAATAGCATAGTTTGATAATATAACTGTCATTGTGGACTAGGCCTATATGAAATATTTTATTGACGATGTAACATAAAACCGTGATAAAACGACACCTTGAACTGACCATTTAACATAGAACATTAATTGGTGACCATATGCTATAATAAATTGACAACATAACATAATATGGTGACCCTATAACATAATAATTTGACAACATAACATAATATGGTGACACTATAACATAATAATTTGATAATATAACATATGTTGGGGACCATATGGAATGTGTATCTGTCTTTATGACATTGAATAGTAACTAAGTAATATACTGTCCTTAGTCTAAGGCAGCTCTGGCGTTCCATACAAGACCACACACTTATATTTACATTTGCCCCCGCGCCGTCCCATTACAACAGTGTTGGAGGGCAAGTGTAATTATATAGGTTATAATTACAACTGCTCGACTATAATTACAACTGCCTGTTTCAGGTGTAGGAATATGTTAACAAACAAAATGGCCGCCTGAAATGTATTTTGAGGCAGGGCAAATGTTTTTTGTAGGAATATGTCTTAAAAAAGAAAAAATATGTAAATATAAAAAATACCTGGTTGTCTGGATGTAATTATTGTTGATAGCGGGTTTTATGGTAGATTTGCCAGTGGCCACTTGTAATTATATCAACAATCATTACATCCAGACAACCAGTTATTGTTTAAGTGTTTTTCTAACGAGCCAGAAAGCACTCATTTATTGCGCGGACGTATATATTCACTCGTGCGCGGAAGTGTGTGGTCTTGCTTTATCACATACAGATACCTTCCGTATTTGGTAGAGATCGATACAAAGATTTTATAAACTTAGATATTTTTTTGCAAATACCGGGAACTTTTCAGATCGCCATGACAAGGGGATTCCCATAAAAAAAATGTTCCGGCTAGTAGGTAAATACAACATTCCGTATTGCACATGTGCAATACAGAACGTTGTATTTTATGGTCTGAAAATTGCCTGTATTACTATAACAAGATTCAACAGGTATGTGATAAAGTTTATATTCATAATGTTTCGCTCAATTCAAAATTGTGGATTAAATTCATTCACCCCGATATATCTATATTCTATATTTAGATGTTCTGTAGACTCCATATTTAAACCCCGAACACAGTATCCAGTACAGACGCCGACCGAACACTGACTTCCGTCGGTGATATGAAACCCGTAAGGGCGGATTCATGTAGGCGCGAAACCCGTCATCCATCCATCCATATCCAGTACACTAATTATTAATACTGGTGATAAGCTTTGAGCCGTAAACACGTGTTAGGCTTGTTTGACGATCGATGTGATATTTTGATACTTCCAGCAGATGTAACGTTAAATTCATTTTAAAAAAAATGGATACAAAGGGGACAGCAGTAGAAATAAATGGATTTGAAGAAATGGGAAAATGTGAAACTGTGTCTCTTACGGATGCCACAGACTCCAAAGTCGAGAATGAGCGCGAATTCTGGACAAACAAAGTGGAGTCTTTACTGTCGTTGATAGGATATTGTGTAGGTTTGGGAAACATTTGGCGATTTCCCTACTTCTGCATGCGGAATGGTGGAGGTAAGACAATCTATATATTTACGTTAGAGATATATCTTACACAGGAATGGTGTGCTATATTAACATGGCCAAACCAATGCTAGCGTTAATAGTCACTCCGATGAATAACACACAAGTATGCTTAACGAATGGTATATTTGCAATGTAATATTTGAAAATGTTAATTTAGATAAATTTAATTATGTTTTTTTTTATTGTGAAAAAAATGTTCAAAATGATTACTGTCTGCATGAAAAAAAAAGACAAAGGTAAGGCAACATATAATTCTATGTCTGAAGTTTTGATGACAATTTTGTTTGCTACATGTATCAAGCTGATTTATTTTTGTCATAAAACTACGCGAATTCCTCGCTGAAGCAGCTAGATGACCACATGATGACAGCTATTGTTCCTTAATGAATATTCCTGAATGTGCGCCACATGCACTTCAATCAAAAAGTATCGCAGATTCGCAAAGAAAATATTACTGTGCTTCGATATAATACGTTCGTTTAGTCAGAGACGTATATAACATGTGTTATATCAGTCTCTGGTTTAGTGCACAAAGAGTTAAAATATATGACCTCTAGATCTCTCGACCGTGAAGACTAAAATCTTAAATCTTAGAAGTCGGGAAAAAATCCTCGGTCTTCTCGTGTATCACATTATGTGTATGCATGCTGATTTTCGAAAGAGGCGTTCATGTGTGAAATTATATGATATTCTCAAATGTTATAATTATATTATTAGGCTAGGAGGACAGGGGTCATGGGTAGGGTGTTACTAGAATCTGTTAGAGTCACGTGTTAGAGTCACGAATGTATTGCTGAGTATGCATGAATATCTTTATGTTGTTCTGTTCAGAAAGAGATGTATCTTCAAATAAAAGTAGATTTAAATCAAGAGGCATGTATTCATTCAGTTCACGATCATGCTTATTAATTCTTTGTTCGATATATTTATCACAGGTAAAAAAGAAATGGTGTGTGTCTTCCATAAGGAAGCCGCATATACAACGTTGGTAAACAATAAGGTTAACACGAAACAGATCACTTTTCAAAGTACTAGAACGGTTTCTTAATTTTGTATGCAAAATATTTTTTTTTTCTATCAACATAAAAAAAGTAATTTGGTACAAGAGGGAAGTTTACGTCTTGAATGGCGTTTCTGAATGATGAGAACTTGGCGCTACGTCGTATACGAGTAGGTAACTGGTTCCACAGTCTAACAGTAGGAAGAAGGATACGTTAGATAATCCAAGTCTAATGTTAGGTAGGTTGTAGTTTTCAGCGTTTCGAAGATTATAGTGAGAGTTATCGACAAGGGAAGGAGTAGAGTTCGATAGGTAAGGAATTTAAGATTAATTAAATCAAAGTTGATACAACGAGATTTAATTATTTGTCATATCAACATGAGGTAGTTCCAATATTTGTAAATACATTAACAACTCTTAAAAAACCAAAACAACACATATAAAGTATACATACCATTAAATACCATTAATGCAGAATTTGGTAATAATTTGATATGGTGGAGGGGCATGTTATGTTCGTAGTCTATAGTGTTAATATCTTGTGGGTAGGGATGGGAGACGGATGTGGTTATACGTATATGGTTGGGGATAGTTTGTGACAAGGTCCGAGAGATGGGTCATAGGAGTTATTGTGTGCTTTTGTTGTGTATTGGGTGTTTGGAGGTGTAGGTGTACAAGTAAACAGAATAAAACTGAACAAACAAATATAAATAAAGTAGCAGGTATACAACCAGGCCTCCCCCCC